GTCGTTGCAACTTCACATAGCAATTAAAGATTGCGTCTAAACCCACAACAGTCGCATTAAAAAAAAACAATTATACGCATACGATACATCATTGAATTCAGAAGGAAATACACTTTTTCAAGACGTTAAATTTATTCTTGAAATAAAAATAAATTGCTACAATATGAACTATTTTACCTCTTCCGCAGTGCTTTAAAACATGGCCAGCTTCTTTGCAGCCTCACTCGTATATCAATAATTTATTGTTGCGATCGTCCCTCATATTTATTCACAATGAACTAATTATGTGTGTACGAATTACATATAATGTGTGAATTGTATTTTTCGGAGTCCTACAACTGATAATTAAATAAATACATTCTTTCTAAAATATAGTTTCGATTCCTTTTTGTTAAGATCTGTAGTCTCACAAACGTAATTATTATTGCTACATATTAGCTTATTTTTTAAAATTCCGCAGTTCTCCTACTCTGGATTAAAGTAAACCTGTAAGTACAATTCAAAAACTGGCACACATAGATAGTTTATTAGGTGCATATAACTGAGACTGGAAAATTTAAAATTTACAACATTTCATAGGTAGCGCTGTAACGTAAGAAGCATTCGACCGAAACACCAGATAAATGGTTTGTAAGTGAGGGGCATTGATCTTTTTCTGTAATGACTGTCCTTTGCTTACTGCATCCCCAGAACCATACGATTTTTGTTGTTTTTTTGCTGTATGTGATGGAATCTGCTGCCTAACTCAAGTAAATTTATTTGTCTGATCCCTGTCCGCCCATCGATTACGAATTCCACTCACTTCCAACAAGCTCGGCCTTTTTCAGTAATGACTGCAAAGTAGACACTACCATAATGCAATTCTAATGCGTGTGTTTGCCATGAATATCAATCTGTTGCAATTTTGACATCCCTGACATTCCCAGAATGCACGAGCGTCACTACGATTGTTCCGTCTACTGCATTGCAAGGACAGGACAGGCGCGTATCATGAATTTCAAAATCAAAGCAACAAATTGACTGATACTTTAACATAAGAGGTGTTGGGGTTTCAATTCAAATTTCTGCTTTCATGTAGTTTTAGAATAAATCTGAATTCGTATATACATTACAAGAAAAGAATTGTTCAACAACGCTCTATTCGGTGGGATGATATTGGTAATGCTAAATATCACTGGGTTTCCTATGGTAGTTCCCATCTCTGAACCTGCAGCATCTCCTCAATTGGATCTGATTGTATCTAGTTACATTTGAAAACAGTAAATTAGACATCAGGTATTAGGTTGAATTCTTATTATGTTCACACAAAAACTACTATGTGGAAATAAAGAGTAAAATACTGCCAATTTAAAAGTGTACAGTGTGTTGCCTAATTTAAATGAACGTAATAGTAACAAACACCTTTGATGAATCGTCGTTGAACGAATATTCCACATTCCATTATTAAAAATTAAAATACAAAAGTAACTTCAATTTTACACATTGCTTAGGGACCTAAGGTCCAAACTATGTCAACAGCAAAACATTTATAGATCAACTGCACACCTAACTTATTGTATCTACTGATAACCAATAAGTCACTAACTACATGAATTTTAACAGTTGGAATCGTTTACTATATATAAAATTCATTTAAGATGAATAGATTTCCTATTACTTCCTGAGATTCTATTGTTGATATTTCACTTATTGGCAGGCTTATTTTTACCTAGTAATGAATTTTGTGATGCAGTTACATATAATGATTTGGAGGTCGATTCATTTTTACTGTTTCTACAAGAACAAAAAGTGTTCTAAGTGCAAGTCACACAACAAGCAAAAATAAAAACATTGCGCATGTGTGCGATATCCTTACAGACAACTCTGTTAGCTTTGTAACTTTTAGCCTGTGATTTTGATAAACATGCAAAAATAGTATTCTTTTTGCAAAACGAATTTCATTTGAAATGTTTCAAAATAATACATGTAATTTCTTCATACACTCATATGTTTTAAAATCATTTATAAAAGATGAATGAATAAATAAAAAAATAATGAATGAATAAATAGTTCTGTTTTATTAAATAAATCACGGCTCAAATTTATAGTGTAACCTATATTTGTGGTTTAATTTAGTAATGTATCCGTATTAATATTTTAACAAAATAAAATTTGGAGCGGTTTAATTAAAACGCTATACAAACAAATGTAGATCAATTTTTTAATAATTTTTAAATGTGACGCCTTTGTTAAAAAAAAATAAACAACTACATTTTTGCTTAAAGCAATACAAGTTAAAAACGGATCTGCGAATTTTGTAGACTTCCACTGTCATCAATTTGAGAGTAGACCGAATCCACACAAGAGCGCTGAAACCGTGCATGGGCAATCGTTAAGAGTTGATTGCTACCCTGAAAGTGTATAGTTTTTTCGTTCATAAATCAGCTCCCCTGTACAAACAGCTTGAATCACTGCCGTTGCTCATTACACGGTCGTTTGTGGAACCTATCAAAAACCGGCTAGAATCAATGTGACTGTGGCTGGAGGTCGATTGATAGCGATTTACAGCATACTTGTCTATGTCATAATGAAATAAGAAGCGACTCTGCAAACACTTGCCCAATTTAAGTTATCTTTTCCCATGGACAAGAATCTTTCCCATCGCTCGCCTTCAACCTGAATACTTTTTGTACGAAAATTCTAATTGGTCCTATTCAAATTGTTTTTGTAGACGTTTTAAACTATTTCCGTGGAGCTAAAAATTTTAAATTTAGAATAAACTGCGCATGCATAGCGGGGAGTGCCCAATCCAAATGTGTAATACGTTTGTCCAACTCTTACTCAGGTACAAATGGAAACCAATAGGTTGTATAGAGTCCGGGAAATCGTGAACATTGACTTTCTGTTTCTAAAACCTCGCAATAAACTGCTCAAGATTATAATAGCGATGATTTACAACGCTTGTCTACTTTTGCGAAAAAATCAACGAGTTTTTGATATATCATGTTGATGTATAGGGCATCTACGAAAATAGTGGTTTTATAACTGTGACTCCTTCGTCACCCTTGACAACGCTTCTTACAACCAGAACCAGTGTATGTGTTTAGAAGTATTAGTTAATACCTATGATCTTTCTACGCAAACGAGGATTTGGAAAAGCTAAAGTCATAAAACCACTATTTCCGTGGGTGAACTATAAATGCAGATATACGTTTCGGTGACGGTCAACAAGTAACTAGAGGTTCATTTATCCGTTACTATTATAGTAACAATACTGAACTTAACGGTGTTCACGGGAAGAGATTTGCAAAAAATTCCAGGTACCTTAAAAATTATTCATTTCCACGTGACCTTTCGTTCGGAAAGAATAAATTGGATTAGTTTTTCATGTATTTTGATTGTTCTAAATATATCTTTAAACAGAACGCACTTTACAGATTAAAATGTGTTCATACACGTCTGATTCATACAACTTTTGTTAGTTTCAGGCAAGCAATCGGAGAGGTCAGGGCTGTAAATTATCATTAACATAATATTGAGGGCGTCCAATAAACACTTTTGGAAACAGAAAGTTAATGTTCATTATTTTCCGGACCCTGCTATAGGTTTGTAAAGGCATTTACGATATCCAGATGGTACTTACAGGATGATGTCAATCCGATCAAGGCGTCGTTTAATCTTGCAATAAAGTGTTAAATATTTGTTTTTAATTTCATAGTTATTAATTATTGTAAAATACGTTCTATATATCATTAACATTTGGAATGTATGTACACAAATACACACGTTATTACGTAACGAATAAATAATTCAATGTAATTCTGGAAATCTATATACTTATGTATAACAGAAAGTTATATTTCACGCCTTATCCATTAATTTGCTTCCATTTACCTTCACGCTGATTAACAACGATAACAATTGCGGAGTACCAAAGTACTTCAATGTACAAAAACTTGAATGAAAACTTTATTGGTGTTGTGTAGATAAAGGAATTACACTTTGATAATTAAACAATCCCACTGTTGATAACCTAATACTTTTATGGGCGATAGCAGTAAAAACAATAATCTGATCTCCTATTATTACTTTTAATTTAAAGTTATGTTTTTAAGCGGTCAACAAATCAAGGCCGCTGGCTAGCAAAAATAAGCAGAGATGAAATTAGAACTTAAATGTAAATGCCTGGCAACGTTGAAACGGTTGAAACAATGGCGTATAGTAACAGCGGTAGTAAAGACTGAAATTTACTACAAGAGCATTCCTGCAGCTCAATCGTTACACGGACCCAGCTACTGTGCAACAATCCAATCACGCAGTCGCCAGAAACAACGTCGTGTTCTGTTATGTAAATCTCAACCTTTTACTGGTCGATTGGAGAGTTTAACTCGAAATAGAACTGCGAGGAGGGAATATGCAAATTACTTTAATTTTTTTTAGACACGTTTCGACTATATGTCTACTGGCTTACTCAAAAGGTATGAACTAAAAACTTTAGAAAATGAGATGATTTTAAATTGGTACGAAATGGCCGTAAAAAGGGCAAAATTATTTTTCGATTGCAGTGTTATTTCTTCCGAATGATGTAAAGCACGAGTGGGAGTTAGCATGTTTATAAACAACTTGTATAAATTGTGAATACAGTGAGAGAGAAAGAGATCGGGCGACAAACGACAAGAACAACCAATAAGAGAGCGCTTGGCAACAAGGCTTAGAACCGCACTTTTCGATACTTTTGGTCCGTGGTCCATACAAACCGGCTCAACTAGGCCTACATTCTTTAGGTGCGTTCCTGCAGACATTCGTGACCGATGACGCCACAACTCGATGGGGCTTTTTCCCATCAAAAAACGATTCCGTCCCCGTATTTTCCTGCTGAAGAAGCAAACAGGTGGATCTAGTGCTAACCTTATGCGTTGTCAAGATTATTGGGAAAGGTACGAAATGGTGCTCCATGTGCGACGAAAATTCCAAGAATGCCACTTAATTAGAACTGCTGATCATTGCAAGACAGCACTCACCACAACCAACACTAAATGTACCAGCTGATTGCGTAGCTCGGCAGGAACGGGCTAACCTCTCACCAACTCGCGCGTTACCGAGATACTGAACCGTACCAAGTGAAATGAAACGTTGAGGCCGAACTCAGACTGGCGGCTGACGGGGACGGTGGCGGTGGTGGTGGTGGCACAGAATGAAACGTTCCAGTTCCAGTATCCTTTTCTTACATATTGACCGTGTGATGGCGTTGCCTCTCTCTGTTTCCGAATGATCGAGGCACCCATCAATTTTATGGTGAGCTTGTGCTTTATAGATAAGTGATAAGAATAAATATTTAACATTTTTATATTTTCCAATTTAATAATGCAATGAAATTTGAATCACAATTTGAAGCTTTTAATTGTTTACACTTTAACTGTCATTCAGTCCCCAAACAAATGCAACTGATAAGCTGTTAAACAAATATAAATTCCTGCCTATAATACAATACCTAATGTCTTATCAATTCAAGGTCAACATTTTTTCGTGTGTGACTAGCCATACCAATAATAAATAATGTACATAATCTGAATGTTGTCAAAATCAGTAAGAACAACTATGAAGCAACCATATACATAGCCTCTGACACATTTTTGTTTCATTTTTAATTAAAATTCCTCACTTTACAAACACCTGTCAACAAATAGATAATAGTGGATTCCAAATGGACATACATCTTAATATGCATAAATAATAAGATTAAAAAAAATTTAAAAAAAATTCGATATTACACATTATTTTCTGAAACCAATGTAAAGTCGACATTATAATATAAGTCAAAAACTAACAATTCTGAACATGAGGTTTACACAGTTACTCTTAGATTTTTTTGTGTATTTTTTATTAAGTAGTTCAAATCTTAATTTAAATACTTTTAATTCAGAAACATTTAAAATTTGAAGACAATTTTAGTGGTTTATAACAAATCACATACTTGTCCATCACTAATACACGTCAAAAATTCAAAGGCAGCAAAACTCCACTGACAAACGCATGTGAACTACATCCTCGGAGCTAAGAATGTTCTTTACTCCAAAAGTACGTCGAACAATTAACTTCTCCATATTGGTAACTCTTCCGTTTTTATAACGCTACCACACTATTTAATTCAATCCATCCACAGATCTTAAAATTAAAATCTACCAAATTATAACGCAGGAGGTTTCATAAGGTTGTTAAATATTTAATGTTCCCCCAGCTACTTGCAAGACACTTTGAGGTGTATAGTATAGGCGTGCTAAGCATAAAATTGCTAAATTAATTCTAATACGTATAGTTTCCCCAGTTCTAATTCGGTTTTATATGTGAAAGTTAACTTCCTTAATAATAGATTACTACTGCCCGTGATGGGACAGTCATAAATAAGGATTTAACCATTATACAGTATAATGGTAACGGTATGGTTAAATCCTTATTTATGAATGTCCCATCACCGGCAGTAGTAGTCTATTGTTAAGGAAGTTAACTTTTACATAATAAGGTACTATCATAAAACCGAATTAGAACTGGAGGAACTATATTATTGCTGACAAAAATATTATAAATTTTGCTATAAAATAACATATTTTTGGACCAGGGGTTATACATCCGGGTTCAGTTTTTACCATAGACATCCAGATTTTTGGAAAAAATAAATCAAAATTGTATAACAACATTTTGCAATTTAACTTTGAACCTGCAAAACTGAATGCTCTGAAATCTAGTAAATATTTTAAGGTTATCGTAAGCATGGTAAATCCTCAATAAAAATTTATTCATTTATCCTCTCCAAAAAAACTGATGACGTCATCACAGGATTTTGACGAATAAATCCTATTTAAAATATGCACAATATTATGGGTCTATACTTGTGGTTCATCAATGCTTGATATGTTTTTTAATTAGTTAAATTATTATTATTACTGTTACACCACACCTATTCAAATTGACATGTCTCCATGCTAAAACGTTGGTGACGTCATCATAAAATTTTGTAAGGAAAAACTCACTTGAATTAATGTCATACGCATTGCACACACACACATATCATTATTTTTACTTATAGAAGTTATATTTAAAAAAAGTCCGCAAAGTTAAATTTTATAATTTTTCGAAGAGTCTGTATTTGTTCACCTGTACCTAAGGAGCAGGGGAAGTTTTGTCTAAATAGGCAATTTTTATATCTTACTAACATGAATTATTGCAGTGGATATCCAAAAATTTCACAGTATATCAATAAGATAATAAGAAGATACCAACAGATTTGCAAATCACTGTATGTGTTATTACATAATTGCCGTTGGCAAACATCAAATTAAAAATGTATTAAAGTCATCAAAGCACTTTCAAAAACCAAAAATTCTTGAAGTTCCATTAATGTCCATAACGAAGAATTCTAGAACAATTAAATCAGTGCCAAGAAGTTCCTAAGTCCCGGCAGCATATTAAATTTAACTTTATTAAAAATAATACGATACCTGCACGATAATAATTACAGATACTTCACCCTAATGTGTAAATCTTCTTTTAACTTTGAGAAATGCATTCTGATAATTGTTAGAGATTAACGTTAACATTAATAACATTATGGTAACTACATTAGATATCAGATGTGTTAAATTAGATTCAAGAATATTTCCACTTGCCAACTTCAAAACAATAATTGTTAAAAACAAAGTACGTATAATTATCACAAAATAAGTTTTTAGATAATTAATTATGGTGATTACTCCATTATCTATTTAATTAATGAGAGTTCATAACATGCTGGAATGTTAGTGTGTATGAGTGACCAAGAAACGAATATATTAAAATAAATCCACATAATAAATACGTTGTCTCTGATTGTTTGTGATACGCATGTTAATTAAATACCTTATTTAAATTAAGATAGATATTTCGAAAATTGTTTATACAACAGAATACAGTAATTTCATTTTAGGTTTTTTATTAGTAAAACTACTTTCTATTAAGTCCAGCTGTCTTAATCTAACATACTAAATAACACTTCGTATATATTCGATTGATTTTTATTTATTTAAAAATATATAACCTGGTACTTATGTACCGTATCTGAATAGGATCTAATCATAATTAAAACTAATGTAACCCCTCCCGCGACGCTAAGTGATGGAAATGGAACCGAAAAACAATTTAATGTGTAGTACCAAAAATACCACTTGAGTTCCTACTTAAACCACGTATCCCGTGCAGGTACAATTTGAAATATATAGTACTGTAACTACAAAAGAACTCAAATTGGATGTGTATTTACAAACATTAATATTTATTTCACTACATGGCATTGTACACTATATGTTTATTTGGGTGACGATTCTACAAATATATTTATCTCAAAAAATAATTACCACACATGATCGTGAATCTCTTCCTCTAAACAGCTGCGCATTACTCATTCTGTACATTTACAAACGCATGGGAAGTTACTTTTCTTTCACAAGTAACAGAGGCGTTATTAAAACTTTACAAATGTCATTTATTACTATATTTGTAACAATGTTTTATCTTATCATCATGTTTAAACAAGTTTTGTAAGGTTCTATATTTAGTCCGCTTCCGCACAGATGCATTGGCTGCTTTATCTCACGATAACAGCCGTAAAATGCCAAAGATTTGCTTTCCAAAGTTGGCGTTATTTGCGGTGTGTCGGGATGATTAGAAGACAAAGCAAATTTTGATAATGATAATAACACTCGTTGTTATAGTGCTTTGGATGTAATGTACTCATAATTTAGGACCTACTTACGCGATGTGCATACATGTACGGCGAAATTTTCCATTAAGTATTCTCTTCACTACATTTGCATTTACGTAACTCCATTATTAGATTTTTAGGTGAAATGGTTCTTGTTCTTTTTTGTGTTTTGCAGGCTTAATAAGCGTATCAATTATGGATAAAAAAAATTGATCGCGTAAGATACTACACTTCGTTTCACGTAAGGACAATTCTTACAGACGACACATGTAATTTTTCTTTCTTTTTAGCAAGCTAAAACCTGTTAAGTGTAAATGTCGGATAACAAGTTCGTGACATCCGATAGCTCCTCTCATAGCGCCTAATGAGAATCTATTCCTGGGCCAGGAATAGACCGGTAGCGCGTCCCTGCGGTCGTCCTGGCAACTCAGTACGAGCTCGTTGACGTCCGCAGGATCTACGACCTTCACCTCGCTCGTCTCGGCGATTCCACCAATCGTTGTTTCACCTTATATACTGACGATTCTGCTCTGGAACTCGGTCGTTTTTGACTTTTAATTTGTTACTATAATTTTATTAAACAAATGACCTGAAGCACTCAGCTTGCAACTTGTACTGGCAATTAATACGAAATATTACTTCCTTCTGTGTTAACAAGTAACCAGTCCTACAGGTATCACTTGCGAAATTTAACATCTTTAATTTTTAAATTATTAAAGCTTGAAAGTATTACAGCACAACCAAAATGTTCCGGCATGTATTTTCCACTTGTTAGCTGTAAAAAAAGTGCAAATGTAAAGCTGGGAGGTCTCAAGTATGTCTAGTTCTGCACAATTTTTCTCATTTTTTGGTAAGATTTATTTTTTTTTATTGATGCGCTTTGTTGATCGGCATTTGAATTGAATTTCTTATTCTAACAAACAAAATGTTTAATCTACTCTCCATATTTAAATGCATTATATGGATTCTGTAATATTACCACCACCCACTGTGGAAATCAGAAATTTTAGAAATAATTTGCTCCTACAAGTTACACACTATTTAAATTTAAACAAAAATGAAATAGGTTAGAAATGATGCACGATCAACAAAAATGTCCGCATGCTGGCACTGCACCAGCAAGCTATTTTTCTCATCGTCCACCATTTACAATGGAGAATGAAAGACAACTAAAAATTCTAAAAAGATTCACAGTTTTGCTTTTGTCTTCTCAAGTCTACCAGGAACACACTAACCTTTTGGTAGCTTAAACTCTCCCACCTCAACAGCTATTTACTTACACTTAGTTATGGTGTAAGTAAGTGGCTCTCATTTACTATTTAGTGCAATTTTGTTTAAGTGAGGGGAAAATGGTGTGGATAATATTTTTATTAACGACTATTAATCGTTTGTGTCAACATAAAAA